AATATATGATTAATACAGCGAATTTTATTTTTGTATAAAATAAATAGCTCCTTGTCTAACTTATTTTATTTGATTTTTTAGAGTGCAACGAAGTACTTTTTGAAATTGCTGATATAAGTGGATGTCGCGAGGGTCTTGAATCGAAGGCTCATTTGGGCTGCAATGCAGCTGCAATAATGCATAGTTGAGTGTCATTAAAACAACAAACAGACCAATAATATTTCAGCTTAAAATAGTATGCATATACTCATACGCATACACACATACATATGCATATCATTGTCCGCATTGCGACTGCATTTAAGCCAGTTGCACTTGGTGAATGCGCATTTGTGGCATAAAGCGATTGTCGCCTGTGATAGCGTTTGCCAATGCACACAGAGGGTATTTCGATCAGCTTGAGATGACGATTTGTGCGGCATTCGGCACTCGGTATGGGGCATGCGGCATGGGGCATGGGACCTGTAGTCTGCAATGGCTTGTTAGGCAAATGGAGTGGCAACTGTTTGTGCTGGCAGTGACGATTCGCATTCGTTGCATGTAATCCAATTGCAAGCCGGGGGCATCAAAGCGACGGAAAGTCGCTGCCAGGCCACACGCAGAGCCCGGCTGCCAATCTGAGCGGATGCACAGCTGGCTTTGGTGCTGCAGTCGCAGTCCTCTGGCTCTGAGTCTGCCGTTGGCTCTGCCCAGGTGCTAAATCCGCCTTGATTGCGTTTTCGTTTTTCCCCGATTCTACTTCGCCTCTTTTGCCCCGCCTCTCGTCGCCTCTTTTTTGTTCACTTACAATTTGTGTGCCAACAGATGTAAATGCAACGGAACTTATAGCCGTCAGGGCCATGGGTAGCGCTGGGGCTCGCCTTTTTATGCTCATTCACGAATGTGAAATGAGCATATTGATTTTGTGTGGTTCGCTATTGAAGGCGGATACTGAAATTGGACACAATTGCTGCTGACATTCTCCTATACACATATACCGATTGGGGGCGTGGTAAATACATATGTCAACGTTAGCCTCGTGACTGAGTATTCTGCAGTCGGTAGCGCTCGACCGCAGCATTCATAGTTGGCTTTTTTTACTTTTATTAATACAATTTTTTCATTCGCTGCGAAATGATGTGGAATTAAGTGCATAAATATATATGTATGCATTCTATACATATACATATATATTATATACATATAAGTGTGTGTGTATTTATTTTTGTACTCCTGTGTGTGTGCGTAGTATTTTGGATGCAAGTGGCACATTGCTCTGTCCAATGGCTGTGGCAAAGCCGCAAAACGCATTTTGTGCTGATGCTTAAAATTTCATTTTCACGTGCTACGTACAAATGATTTCATTGCGCTTCGCTGCGCTGCACGTCGATTTCGTTTTCGTTTTCGCTTTCGTTTTGGGTCTGGGATCTCGTCAGAGCTTAGCGAAGTGCATCTAACGGCCTCGTCATAATAACAAATGACAAAACGTTCCCCAAACTTGCAGCTTGCCAATTTGATTTTATCGCCTCGGCCATAAGCCCCGCAAATGCCGAATGGCCAATGGAGTCGCTTAAGGCGATGCGACGGCAGCATTTCAATGAATACGTTCTCGCTGGCAATTGTCTTGATGCAGCTTGGGGGTTGGGTGGATGGGACGGCAGGCGGCGTGCACTTTTGTGTCGTCACACCTGGCGTATGAGCGATAAAGTACCAAAACGAAGCTGCTGCTGCTGCTGCTGCTGCCTGATAGACAACGTCAGCAGACTTCAATTCAATGCACGTTTCTAATGCGATGAATTGCTTTTTCAATTTTCCAATTTATTTTTCATTTTGAAAACGCCAAGTGTGTGTGTGTGAGTGTGTCTGTGTGTGTGAGAAAGCAACCCAAGCAGAGGGTCCGAGCTGCGAAAGAAAAGTGTAGCAAGAGTTTATTGATGGTTTCTGTTGGTGCAGCTGGCAGCGACGCAGGCAACGCATGAGCTTGATTCTGACTGAGGCACGGCTGGCTGTGCCACATATGACCCACACACACACACACACCCACACACTCACAGACACGCAGGCAGTGGCCAATTTTTTGGACGAGCGCAGCAATAACTGTGCGCACTGCACAGAGGTGCAGAAAATATAACTTTGCACTTGCCACTCGTTTGTCGAAGTTTGTTTACAATCGAGCGTGCTTGATTAATAAATACCCTGTATTGTAGAGTTTTGGCTGGCTATATTGATTGCTATGATAAGATCGCACTCACTCTCACTCTCTCTCTTTCTGTCAATCTCTCTGGCTTTTTCTATGCCTCACTCTGCCTATCTCTGTCACTCACTTTATTACCCCTCTCTCTTAATGTCTCCCACCATTTGTCTCTCTCTTTCTCTCTCTCTCTCTCTCTGTGTATATCTCTCTTTCTCTCTCTCTCTCTCTGTATATACCTCATTCTTTCCTTCTTTCTTTATCACTGCTTCTCCTGCCACTCTCTTTATTACCCTTTCTCTGTCTCTCCCTCTATTTGTATGCTCCTCTCTTTCTCTCTCTCTCTGTCTTTCGTTCAGTGTCTGTCGCTTTGACTCTATCCGACTATCTCTGTCACTCTCTTTATCTCTTTACCTCTGCTTGTCTGACTCTCTCTCTCTAATCTTCTCCTTTATTCTCCTCTCCTTTATTCCTACATTACTCTCATTCTCACTCCCTCTCTCTCTCTTTCGCTACCTATTACACTTTCTTTCTTCCTCCCTCTCCCTTTCTCCCTCTCCCTCTCTTGCTATTCCATGCATGTATTACCTAGTTGGCAAATTGAGCATCGATCTGACTTGAATTTGGTATTTTCCATAAGCCAACACTTTAAGCGGATTAAATGGGTTCACAGCTGAGTTGAGTTTACAGGAATTTTGGGTCAGTTGCAAATTTTTGTAATCAATTGTATTTACTTACCGAGAATCAATTGAAATGTGAACTTAGCATTTGATTGCAAATAATAGATTGGATTGAATATAACTCAGAATCGACGCGCACTTTTGTTTCATTTGAATGTTATTTTAGTAAAATGTGTGTATGATTTAAATTAAATTAAGTACTGTTAGTCTATATGCATATTAAAACTTGTCTTGATCTGTTCAAAGTCTAAGCCAAACCAAATTAAAAAAAAAAATAAAAATAAAAAAAAAATCAATCTGATACTAAATGGGTAGTTAAAGAAAGAGAGTGCCAATAAAATTTGAAAAAAGACCTTATATATTACTGGCAATATATCATTTGAATTTACATTATATTCGATATTTATATTCTTCGAAAAATTTCATTGGTACACAAATTCACTTGAAGAAACTTTCAAGTTTCAAGTTCAACTTCCAATTGATTAGCAGTTAATAACTGAAATTGTTAGGTGATCAATATGATATAGATCTATTATATATTTCTTTCTTCCTTCTCTTTCTATTGTTTTTTCTTTTTTTCCAGACATTAGCAGCTGAGCAACGCAAACTCTTAAGCTCATTTCCAGGTATGCGCATAAAATTTCCTAATATTTTTTCCCCTAATGCTGGACTAAATTCTTAAGCTGCTTTCTAGATATACGCAACTATACTATATATACTATACTATATTCAAGGTCCTGCCGAATCATATTAATACTACTTGGAATCAAGTTTAAATGCGCTTAAAACCGCATCAGAAAGAAAATACATATCTATTAATTTTTGAAGATATTATACATTGAAACTCTCATCATAAGGAATATTAATAAGGCCAAAAAAAAAAAAATAAATAAATAAAACAAGTAAGAAAGCTCTAGTCGAGACTGCTCG